CACACACACACACATACACACAAAGAATCAATGGTATTGAAGGGAGAAGTCGAGGCTGTACTGAAGGAACCAGCAAAAAACAAGGCTCTGGGAATTGATGGACCAAACCAAAACCAAACACACTGCCGTCACGTCGGAACCGACTCATAGCAACCCCTCCTTGGGTTTCTGAGGCAGTATCTCTACAGAAGTAGGTTACTCAGTCTTCTGATTAGCAGTCAAATGCCTTAGGCACTATGCCACCAGAGCTTGGAATATCCACTGAAATATTTCAACAAATGGATGAAACACTGGAGGCACTTACTCGATTATGCCAAGAAATATGGAAGACAGCTACCTGGCCAAGTGACTGGAAGAGACTGATATCTGTGCCCATTCCAAACAAAGGCAATCCAACAGAATGTGCAAATTATCGAATAATATCATTAATATCACACACAAGTAATATCTTACTGAAGATAATTAAAAAACGACTGCAGCAGTATGTTGACAGGGAACTTCCAGAAATGCAAGCTGGATTCAGAAGAGAATGTGGAACAAGGGCTGTCATTGCTGATGTCAGATGGACCTTGGCTGAAAGTAAAGTATACCAGAAAGATAAAACCTGGGTTTTATTGACTATGTAAAGGCATTTGATTGTGTGGGATCATAATAAATCATGGACAACATTGCAAACAATAGGAATTCCAGAACACTTAATTGTGCTCATGAGGAAGCTGTGCATAGACCAAGAAGCTATCATTTGAAAAGAGCAAGGGGATATTGCATAGTTTAAAATTAGGAAGGATGTATGTCAGGTTTATATCCTTTCACCATACTTATTCAATCTGTATGCTGAACAAATAATCCGAGAAGCTGGGCTATAAGAAAAATGTAGCATCAGGACTGGAGGAAGACTCATTAACAGCCTGCAATATGCAGACAACACAACTTTGCTAGCTGAAAGTGAAGAAGACTTGAAGCACTACTGATGAAGATCAAAGACTACAGTCTTCAGTATGGATTATACCTCAACATAAAGAAAATGAAAATCTTCACAACTAAACCAACAAGCAACATGATAAATGGAGAACATATTGAAGTTGGCAGGATTTCATTTGACTTGGATCCACAGTCAACACACATGGAAGCAGAAGTCAGGAGATCAGATGGTCAAATCTGCTGGAAAAGACTTCTTTAGAGTGTTGAAGAGCGAAGATGTCATTCTGAAGACTAAGGTGTGGCTAACCCAAACCATGGTATTTTCATTTGCCTCATATGCATGTGAGAGCTGGACAATAAATAATGAAAACCAAAGAAGAATTGATACCTTTGAATTATGGTGTTGGCAAAGAATACTGAAAACACCATGGACTGCCAGAGGAATGAACAGGTATGTCCTGGAAGAAGTGCAGCCAGAATGTTCCTTGGAATCAAGAATGGCCAGACTTCATCTCCCCTACTTTGGTCATGTTGTCAGAAGGGACCAGTCCTTGGAGAAGGATATCATGCTTGGTAAAGTTGAGGGTCAGCAGAGAAGGGGAAGACCCTTAATAAGACAGATTGACCCAGTGGCTGCAATGATGGGCTCAAGCATAGCAGGGATTGTGAGGACAGTGCAGTGTTTCATTCTGTTGTACACAGGGTCACTATGAGCTGGAGCTAACTCAACAGCACCTAACAACAAATATACCCAATCTTACAGAAGCAGCCTGCCTCATCTTTCTCCTGCAGACTGGCTGGTGGGTTCAATCTGCCCACCGACCTTCTGGCTAGCAACCAAATGCCTTAACCACTGTGCCACTAGATCTCTTTAACATTTAGAATATAGGAGCTCTGATGGTATAGTTGCCTAAGGCACGTGACCGTTAACCAGAAGGCTGGTGGTTCAAACCCAACAGCCACTCCTTGGAAAGAAGGTTGAGCAATCTACGGAGCTTTGGTGGTGCAGTGCCTAAGGCATTTGACTGCTAACCAGGAGGCTGGCAGTTCAAACTCACCAGCCACTTCACAGAAGAAAGATGGAGCAATCTACTTCCGTAAAGATTTACTGCCTTGGAAACCCAGTGAGGGTTGCTATGAGTTGGAATTGACTTGATGGCACTGATTTGGTTTTGGTTTGATTGTTTAGGAAAGAAGCCCTAGCAGTGCAATGGTTAAGTGCTTGCCTGATAACCAAAGGTTAGTGTTTGAATCTGCTTCCTTAAAGATTACAGCCTTGGAAACTATCAGGCAGTACAACCTTAGGGTCACTACTATAGCATCACTATGAGTCAGAATCAACTCCACGGAAATGGATAATTAGTAAATGTGCTTCTTATAATAAGTGATTTAAAAATGGCTATCTCCCAAAGGGGCTTTTATTCCAAAATTACTTATCAGTAATACTACATTTTGCCATTTTTTAGGAGCTTTGGAATCATCTGATCTATATTGTCTTGCTACCCTGACATCCACATTAAATTCTTGTTTTCTCCCCTTGGATTGACTAAGATTTGCCCCATACTATACGTTTTTACTAAGGAGCTCTGGTGATGCAGTGGTTAAAGCACTGGGCTGCAAACCAAAAGATTAGTGGTTTGATCCCACCAGGCACTCTGCAAGAGAAAGACTGAGGCAGTCTGCTTCCCTAAAGATTTACAGCCTTGGAAACCCTATGGGCCAGTTCTAC